ACTAAATGCTCTCAGTGCCCCTTTATAAACGCCCGCTACTACGATCTTCATCGCAACGCACTGTACTCTTACACCACGCATCGACGACACCTGTTCTACCAAGGTCTCTTCTATGAAAACTTCCACCGATTACCACAGTTCATGCACTCGCAAAAGGTCGTCATCGGTTCGTCAGCAGACCTGGTCTGCGCTTGACTGTAGCTGACCATCTTTTGCTTGCATTTTCCGCACTGGAACTCCTTGGAAATGGCCTTTTCGACCTGTGCAACCATGGCCTGATTCATGTTGATCTGTTCCAGCTTCTCGTCTTCTGCTCGTCGCGCGTCCGACTTCATCTCGTCATGTGTCATGACGACGAACTTGTCTGCGGGCACCTCGCCAGTGAGTACACGCTTGCGAAGCTGGGGATTCGATTTGCTCTTGAGATTCTGGAAGAGCGAGCGCATCTTGCCCTTGTAAGTGTCGTTTACACTACCAGCCTTGGCGTAAGCAGCGGCTTCGATTTGCTTTGCGACGCTGAGAATCTCGTCGGGCACTGGGCATGTCAGTCGTGTACAAGGCAGTTGGCAAGTTGCTACTTACTCGCTTCACTCATGAAGGCCAGACCGTCGTACATCAGCCTAACGCAGTTGTCGCGCGCCTCATTTCCGGTCACCTGGTACTTGACCTTGTCTGTCTTGTGATTGCGCTTGTCGGCGGGTACATCATGCTTCTTCTTGGCCAGATTTGGTGCCGGAGACGCGGTTCCTGAGGGTGGAGGAGCGGGGGAAGAGGCTGCACCTCCATTCGCGGCTGCCTTTGCCGGGCCGTCCTTCTTGGGGGGCTGCTTCTTTTTGACCTCATCCCTCCACTTTGCTACCAATTCTGTCGCGAGCTTTTGTACTGCGGGGTCCTTGTGAGTTCGCAGACGGTTGATAGTGACACCGATTCGTGTTGAGCGCAAGAGGTCCTCGGTCGCGTGCACACCCGTCTTCAGGTCATTAAGCAGCTTCAGCACAGAAGCGCTGGGCTCGCCCTCAGAAACAGCCTTTCCGATGGCCTTGCCACGGAGCTCGATTTCTTTGGCGTCCATTGCCATGGTCCAGGCAGTGCTTGTCAAGGTGTAGGGTATCCTGGGCGCGGAGTCGCTGGTGCCTAGGGCAGTCTGTCGCTGTCACGAAGGCAAGTTCTTCCTGGATTGATGTTGCGACTGAGAAGGTCGGTAGGTCGGCGCGGGGTGCTTAGGCGCGTCAGAAGCAGGTATACGCGACGTTGGGGCACGGCAGTGGTTCGGCGACGGTAGGGGAGACGTCGAGGCAGGCAGGCGGCAGGAGGCAAGGAAGCGTGGTGCGATGGCTTGTTTGATTGCCATCTAGAAGTTGCCTTTGCTCGGAGAGGCCCGAGCTCACAGCCGCTAGCCTCCGCCTTCACCAAGGGAAACTGCAACCGTTAACTTGGGAACTGCCAGACTAAAGACCGGCGACGACTGCTGCTGCTACTGCTACTACCGCGCCAACTCGTGCCTCTGGTACTACCGACACGCACACACACACACCCGACGAATCGCCATGGCCGAAAACGCGGCCCCAGGAAGCGCAAACAACGCGGGCGCAGACAGCTCGCGCGGCATGCCCTACTACGAGAGGCTACGACGCGACCTGCGCGAATCGCTGAACAAGAAGCGCCTGATCGATAACAACCTGGTCAGTACTGCACGCGACGCGTCGTGAGTCTCTGTGAGCCTCTGTGTTGACTCTCATGGCAGCTACAACTCGAAGATAACATCTTGCGAGTCGAGACACAGTATCTCGAAGAGACGAGCGCCGGGAACATCATCAAGGGCTTCGATAACTATATCAAGGGCGCAGCAACTACCACGACAGCAGGGGGAGCAGGTACTGCCACCAGGCGCAAGGCTCCCATCAGTGATGCGGACCGCATCTTCAGCCGGAGCTCTACAAGCTTCTTGAGGGTATGTCGAGGAATACCAGGCCGGCTTGCCGATCGCTAGAGATAAGATGCTGACTGCTCTACAGGAATCGTCGACGCCGGGCTCTGCGACGCCATCGCACGCTCCCACGCCAACTTCTTCCTTCCCTACGCGCGAGTCGAGTCAACCTACAAACGGCGCGAGACCAGGAGGTAGTAAGAAGAAGAAGGCAGCCGACGATGATGACGAGGACAGCAACAAGACGAAGCGACAGAAGATCTCCTACGGCCGCGAGTGAGAATCCGTCCCGAGACTCCGACACCGCTTGCTTCAAAAGCGGCGGGATACAAAGATCCTGAAATTACAGAGCATTACCAAGGTATCTTGAGGCGAGTAATTCGCTCAAGGTACGATTGCGCGTCCTTATGGGTCCCGAGACACAAAATCTAACAGACCTACCAACAAAATAGGAAGGCACAAAGGAGTCGGTTAGACACCCGAAGCTGCGCGTGTTCAACTTGTGGGTACCTTACAACAGGCACGGGAGAGGTGAAACCGCTGTAGATCGGACTTGCGAACGCGGGGTTGGTTCAATCTCGATATGAGACCCACTTAATAGAGGATAACGTACTACACCACCACCGAAGGGCGACAACGCATCTGTGCTGACTAGCCGGCGTTCGTGGTGGAGATTGCTCGATGCTTGACTTGTTGCTTGCTTCAAGTGGTCGGAGGAGTGGTGGTGGAGTGCTGCTTGGCGTCCTGTTACGCGCAAGCCACGTCCGCAGTCTGCTGGCGGCTTCATCTCAGCGAAGCGGAATTCATGCTTGAGGAGGGTTAGTATAGTGGATCAACAAGTACAATGCAAGAATGCAAGTCCCGCTCGTGGCATCCAAAGATTGCGAAGGATTCGTGGCAATCTGGAAATAAACGAAGCGAACTACTTCTTCCCGCGCTTCTTTATGGTACAGTAGCCGCAATGTACAGCAAAAATGAATTCTCATGGTCACATTGCACATTTACAACCCTTGCCATGAATTGTAGCAGAGACCCTTCTTTTTGTGGGAAAAAAGTTATAACAAGGGTATTGATGCATATTACTCCAAGGCTCATCTGGTTGTATTCGAGAAGGCGCAGGGACGGCCAGGATTGAGATTGTGATGCCAACCACGGTCGGTTAACCTGAGACGATGGCGGAGAACAAAGACGCAGGCGGTGCATGCTGGCAGGCTGTGGACTTCGCATCCTAGGATATCATGGTATGCAGAACTATAACCCAACGACACAAGTCCGCTTGTGCTAAGACATCCCGCCCTCGCTTCATGGGCTTGTCGGTCCATGCGACTGCTTGAAGATGCGATCGGCGGGGCTTAGTACGGTAGAGCGAAAAGGGCTTCTCCTTTGCGAGACAACGGCCAAATTGCAACACTGGCTTGCATGATGGCTTGCAATTCCGTGTGGTGGCCACAAAGTTTCAAAGACCGAAATAGAGGAGCCGGAGCGGGTGGCAAAAAGACAGCTGTTTAGGAGGCTGGCGGAAATGCTTAATGCTGAGTGGTGCTTCGGCGGTACTGCAAGCTAAATTACAGCTTTCTCCGGGCACCAACAGACTGCGCGCGGAAGCCAACAACAAGCGCAACAGAGTCAAGCAGTTTTGCCTCATCACGTTCTCGTAACGCGATATGTTGCCTTGCGTTTCGCGTTGCTGTAAGTCGTCGCGTCCTTATGACGATCTTTTCTCGAAAAAATGGTACGAGTATACAGCCGTCAGGCACGCTACGATCTCATCTCAGGCTCTTTTCGGTCCTTCTCCAGTGTGTGACCCACTCGAACAAGCGACGTCCGTGATTGGTAGCCCTTCGAGTAGCAGAGAAATAACAAGTCCCGCAGCCGACACGACGCAGAAAGAAAGCCCGACGTCAGCACACACGGGCACTTGTGCGTTTTCGAGTGAAACATAATGACATCGTTGCGCCCCGCTCAGCCTCGTACGCACAACTCGGATTTTGCAACAGGGGCAACCTGGAGGCCGGAGCCAGTGGGTGTGAAGCAAATGATAGCAGAGAACCAAAGCTTGAGGTGGCCCAAAGGTGGAGCGGGAGACATCCCACTCGCTGAGGTAAGACAAATTTCAGGGTCCGGCGGCGGCTAGCAAGGGCATGACGCTCCATGACGGGTGCCAAGTCTCAGCCCTTGTCGTAAGCCGACCGCTCACGGGACGCCAGATGATGGCATTGCGGAGACAAGGTCGTGACTATGTCGCGTTGGTTCAACCCAGGACCGAGGCATCTCCAATGACGAACGGAGACAGCCCCTTGGGGCCGAATCAGGGAGGTGCTGCCGTCACTATGTCAGCTGGAGGGAGGAAATTGAGATAGAGAAACAGAAACTGGTGTGCATGGGATAAAACAAGGGTCTTTGATTCTGCCGCGCTCCTATCCACAATGTGGAAGGGTGCGTCATTTTCTCCCGCTGCCTGTACTCGACGACTCAATGTCGTATCCAAAGCCATCCTATTCTGGCTTGTGCCCCATCTCCGGGTGGCACCTATGCGCGCGCGCTTCAAACTACTACTGTACAAAACGTCATTGTGCTCACCACCTGTACCTCGACTCTATGTCGGGAAGGTGGTGGCTAAAAGAGAGTCTAAAATATTAAAGGGTATAAGCGAATGGTGATGACAACATGCTCCGTATCGACTACGGGTCGAAGCCCTGTCGAGCGATGTTGAAAGATTAAATAAGCAATTGTGGGCGGGTGAAAACCAGGCCCGGGTGAGACAAACGCGTAATGTTACATGGTGGGAAATCGCTCGGAAACGGAATACTCGTAATTCGGAACACCAGAACGCCGTGGTGGTCCCTCAATTCGATGAGCGGGCCAGGTGGTATCTCAGTAAAAACCGTGGTGTGCAGCGATGGGTAGAAGAGGAACAGCCGTCTCAGCTTGTTGTCGTTGGGTCTATAGTCGTGACTAAGAAACGCGCGACAGTGGTATCTCAAAATATGCGATGTACTGGAGACATGCGACAGGCCGGTTGGGACGTGGTCCGGACAAGCAAAGCACTAGACACAACTGGGGTGTTGATCTTCTAGTGATCGACACTTTCCGGTGAGGGATGATCGATACTGCCGTCGTTCTTGTGAACCTTTCGGTGCCTCCTGAGGTTCGAGACGACAGAGAAGTGCCGGCCGCAGCCATCAACTTCACACGCGAAGGCTGTTACAATGTTAGTGCTGGAAAATGTGGTGTGCGTGGAATGACTTACGCTTCTCGCCGGTATGGCTGTACATGTGTGTTTGTAGCGAACTTGGTCGTGTGAAACGCTTGTCGCAGATCTTGCACTTGTGCTTCTTTTGCGAGCTGGAAGACACCTTTGAGCTGAACTGGCTCATCATTGAAGCGGGCGCTGGAGGCATGTTTGCTCCTAGAAGCGCGTTGGGGCGGGGCAGAGTGCGCGAGTTGCTCAGGTCAACAGACTCGGAGGCAGAGCTGTAATCTGTCACAGAGCCATCACCACCGTAGTATCCGTTAGGGCCATAGCTGCCTGACGAGATTGACGAGTGTGTCGAGTGTGCTGAGGGGAAACCGTATGAATCGGTCGAGCTGCGGCTAGTTCCTTGAGAGCCATAGATATTCCTTGGGGTAATGTCTGACTGGCTCAGGGAGACCATACCACGGCTCGCGTCAAGCGCGTCGCTAAAGCTGTTGCGCGGTTGCTGTGTGTTCATTCTGCTAAAGTCAACAAGTGAACTTTGGCGTTGTCGTTGGGCCGCGCTTTCTACGGACTCGTAGAAGGCTATTGAGGGGACTGACGGGTGTGAAGAGCGGCGGGAAGCATCCTGTTGGTATGCGTACGGGCTCCGTTCTGTGTTGCCATATTCCACCTGAGAGTAGGGCGCTGAAGTTGGAGCATATGTTTGGTTTGGAGGTGACCCAGAAGTAGTATAACCGGTTGGGTACCGCGACATGAGATCTTCAGAGGCATCAAGTAAGTTTTGTGTTCCGAAAGTGCCATCCGGGAGAGTAATACCTTGTCCCATGGGAGGAGCTGTGACCGGCAGACCGTGGTACGGGATGGCAATGCTGGTAGGCCGCTGCGCGTCGACATTGGGTGCAACGGTGGTCTGGTACAGTTGCTGCTGCGAGGCACCAGTAGACACCCACGGGTTGGTGAAGTGTGGTTGTTGTTGAGGGTAGCGCATGTGTTCGTAACCCATGCTGCTTAGCTGGGGTTGCTGACGGTTATCGACTGCCATTGCCATTGCGTGTTCGGGACGAAAGGTAGTAAGGTGTACAGGTCCGGAGGGGAAGGTGGTACAAGAAGACGAATATGAGTGTGACAATAGACACTCAACTCGTGGATCCAGGTGTGAAACGTGATAGTTCGAGGGTTGAAAACGTGGAGATAGTCGATCACAGGTACTCAGCGGTGGGATCTGCGACCTTTTGAATTCACTCTGACACTGGGGACTCCCGTGCTGTGGTAGTCCAAGTCAAGTAAAGATAATCCCTTTGGTATGTCGATCAGTTGACCTGTACTAAGCAGGAGCCGTGGCGATGAACCAGCGAGATTAGGTGTAGGGCGAAAGCGGACACCAGTGACTGGGAGGCAGACGCTCGAGCGTTTCAAGTGAAGCACTGTGCTTGCAAGGAGCAGAATGCCCAGCGGGTGCAGGGGCGGACCGTGTGGGCTGGGTTGCGTGTTGCGTGTCGCCTTGGAAGGTTCGGTAACGTTATTCGCTACAAAAGCAAACCAGCGACAAAGAAGTAAGGATGTGAGGGTAACGATGATGAAAGCAGTATTGATAGTCTCTGGTACGAGTTATGGCAAGAGACAATCTAGGATTGAGTAAAGCTTAGAGGTTGGTGACTGTTGATCAGTGGGCATTTAGTCGGGGAACACTGATTGATAAATTCCGCTGCTTGGAGGGTTTACGTCTTTTGGGTTCACAGCACCTCCATCATAGGCTGGCAGCCAAGCATAGCGAGCAGGCAAGTTGGCTGAAGACCCCGGACGCACCTACGTCGGTGAAGACAAGGATCAAGTGCGCTAAAGCATCTCTCTGCACGCTGCTTTTAAGCGTGTGGGGAGCGTTATTCAATGGCCTGCCCACGGCCGATGTAGTATCCGCGCCATTGAGCACTGTGGGCTCAACAGCCTTCAGCTCCCGTTCATTGAAGCCAGCGTCTACCGCTTCTCCATTGCGCTATCATCGGCACCTTTCTCACCCGTGAGAAGCCAGTAGTGCGCCAGACAAGCCCTCGCCGCTAGGCAAGCCTCTCCTCTTTGCAAGCCCACTGCGAATCAGCGGGCGGTAGGCGCGGGAGGGCTTTTTGGCTTTTGTTTTGGCGTGCATCCACCAGGCCAGGGTCGACGAGGGACATAGAAGAGGACTAGTCTATTCACTCACAATTGCATGCTGCCGTTTTGGTCAATGAACGCTAGCCTGATAAGCAGCCAGAGTGAAATGCTCCGCAGTAATGCTGACGAGTGCGGCAGGCCATTGAGTTGCCCTGTGTCCTCATCCTAGCGATACTTGATCACCCCCTAAGCTTTGCTTCTGACACTGTCGACACTCTACGCTGCAGAACAACGGTCGCCTAAGGAGCACGCTCCACCCCGACCATCAAAGGGACCGAAAAGGCGGCTTCGCAAGCTTGCGGTTTGGAGGTGCATCGCGCCGGACACTGGCCGGAGAGTCTGCTTTCGCGTCGCGGAGTCGGACCGTACTACCATCTCCACGTTGTTGCGTAAACTCGAACTCTGTGAGCATCTCTCCCTCTGTCCTAGCGTTGGTTCCGCCCCTCTCCTGACTCTGTGTCGTGCACGGCGCACTCATGAAAAAAAAAGCGCCCGAAGTGAAATTACACAGTAGTCCCCTGAAGCAACGCCTGTGCGCATACCTAAGCAATGGGCAAGCGTTTGATCGCCGTCCATGTTGCTTTGGCTGCAACGACTGTAGCTTAGCCAGAAGGCGGGTCACGAGTTGCAGCATACACCTCTATCGCGGGAACTGCCTTGTCCAATAGGGGCGTCACTGTCATGTCGGTGTACCTGCTCCGCGCAGGATTCCACACTCGAAGACACGCTGAACCGAGTACTGAGGGAGTGGCACTTTAGCTCCAATCAATTGCAATCCCCAATATCTGCTTGCCTGAAGATGGAGGCGTCATGTGTAGCAGGGCTGTATGGGCGGCGACTATATCCACCAATGACGATATCGTGCACCGATACTAGAGCGTCGACGATTAGGAGTGCTCGTTTCGTGCTCCGTATCTTCGGCCTCTCATTGACGCGGACCGGGTGGTTTGCTGGGAGGAATGATGAGAGCCAAGACCCATCTGTACACCCCGCTGACACGAGCGCTGATGCATGGTGTGAAAGGATGTGGGCGCATCATGGGTGCTTGCTGGCAATGTCGTCATATGAAGACACCCCTAGCGCAGACGCTAAGCTTACAAGCGAGCTGTCATTGGCGCGACTCGCAAGCCGTACCTGGCAACAGTGAATGCCATGCAGGATGATGTAGGAGCGGTCAAGGCATGCGGGCGATTTGCCGCCAGAGATATTGAACATGCTATGCTTGCACGCCAGCCATTGTCGCAATGCGTTATACCAGCAAGCAGAACGCTGTGCTGGGCGTCCAACTCGCATCGTGGCTTATAAGCTCTATCTGGACGCGAGTGGCAAACCGGCAGAAGGCGTGCACCCGGCATCTACCATCTCACCGCCGCCTGCTTCGTCGACATGAATGGCTAGGTGTTGGGACAAAAGGGCCGCCTTGCATCCCAAGTGCACGGAGCAGCTTCAAAAATCCCCCTCACTGTTCGTGGCTCCGCGGGCCTTGTCATGCAGGGCAAGATCTGATGGAGCAGCGCCATCCCGCTCAACATCGAGCTTGCAGAGTGCACTATCAAAGTCACTTGAGCGTCAGGTCCCCACTTGGCTGCGTCTGCCTTTGCCGCTACTTTGTGTGTGTGCATATGTCGGCGGAAGCGGTACCCTACCGGAGTGGACTGTGAAATGGGTGCGGCATCTGACGGCCTGCTATGCATCGCATCAGCAGCATCACAGCGACGCAAAAAGAAGTGGGCGTGACCCATTCGCTGCGCTATGTGCCAAAGCACGACAGCCACGAGCGCAGCAAAGATCGTAGGCTGTCGGCAGCCGCCCAGAACTGGCTCGGCATTTGAACACTGGACCCTGCATTCGCAAGCCATGCCAGATCACCGAAGTTTATTAGCCGTTGTCTGTGTACATGCTCTGCCCGCTTGCCAAGTCATTTGGGTACTCGATAAGCTCTAGGGCGGATTGGTTTTTATTTCCGAGATCACAGCCTAGCTCTGCAACACGAGCGATAGCACCACGCGTGTGGAGAAGCAAAGTCGGCTCTTGAGATGCATGTGGAAATGTACACTCTATGTGCGACAGTATCCCACAGTCCTGGGGATCTTCAACAAGCGTTCCCCGCGATCTTCAAGTGAGCCAGATGTACGGCTCTGCGAGATCGATCAGCAGTGTGTGATAGTCAGGGACACGTGTTGAACACGTTCACGTTGAAAGCTGCGCTGCGCTGCGCAGCGCAGCACAGAACCGGCCGCGCAAACGCCTTCCGCCGAGCCTTGTGTCCAACTAGTGCTCAACAACCGCTCACAACCCCATAGCGCCCAAACAAACTCTTGCTAGAGCCGGGCAGCAGGTGAACCGAACAACGCCTAAACCAGCGACAAAAGGCCAGCAGTAAAACCGCAAAAGAAAGTAGTCGGCGAGGCAGCGAATCAAGTGAGCCCGATACTCTGGGACATTAGCCAGCAGGTCCATTTGCTAGGAAAAAGACTAGTCACGGGCAGCGGTGCAATTGCAAGCTTCAGCCAATGGAGACGTAGTCGGCCAAGAGAGCGCTACGACTCGGCACACTGCACTTGCGAGTGCTCAAGCCGCCCGATGTAACGTTCGTCCAAACTGCGGGAGTAACGCGGGCTGTCAGGTTGTCAATCTTGGGGGTGGCTGCGTAAGGCCTGTCTGTGCAGTGTCAAGGTTTGAGCTGGAGATTCTGCATGTTCGAATGTAATCGAATGATCTTCAGAGAGTTCCCGCTTTCCAACGGACAAGGTACATGATCATCACTGTCAAGCCAAGAAATTGGGTTGGAAAAGCAAACAGTTTCCGCATCGAGAAGCATGGCCACGAGATTGCGCTGTAGTTCGCAGATCAAAATCTTTTTCTTTCCTAATCTGATGACCCGGCATTACAGGCGTTACTACCACGACATCTCTCCTTTATGCGCCCGAGGGGACGCGCAATGCCAATGCTTGTAGCATGCTGGTGGGGTTCTGTCAACAGTTGACTCGAGTTGCAATCCACGTTTTCACTCTTTGACCAGCTCACTGGAGAATTATCGGATGACCAGGATGTGCTTAGAGGCACATGATGTCGTTGAGCACGTGCATACTGCATGAGGAAAGCTGCATTCCCCTTTCTGATAGCCTATCGCATGGGTCTTCACATCTCAGGACCTGATTAGGCAAGCTCGCACTTTGGAAGCCCTGCCAATGAAATGAGGCTGAGTGGTCGCCGAGCAATACCAACATCTAACTTCCAGTCGCTACCCTGTGATACATCCCTATCTTCACAAGAAGTTTCCAGTGCTGTGGTAGACATGTCTAAGCGCACCTGCATGGTTTTTTTTTTCTTGCAGACTGACTTTGACCTTTCGAGCTGATAGCGCAGGAATGCGCTGTCAATGCGTGCTCTGTAAAAGGAAGGCGCGGGTGTCTTTCCGCCATGTCGAGGCTCTATTGATGGTGAATTGATGGTGGTTGTATTGAATCATTCATTCGTAATTTGTTCATCGTGCGACGTGCTCAACGACCGTCTGTTCGCTGTCATGATGGCGAGATTGTTGAAGGCCGGGCCGTGTCAAGGTAGATTGTCTCGTGTTACTCATACTGTGAGCATTGTTCGTCCTGTTTGAGTTGACCTCATCCGGTGAACCCGCTTTCCTCGTGATGGGCGAATCCGCGTCTTGTTCGTGAACTAATTTCTCGATATTTGCCTCGGTCAGAGGCATCGATGGTTCGCTTTGTGGCCCCTGAGAGCTGTTGTGACGAATTAGCTGTGGCCCAACTAGGGAGAGCAGCTTTTCATCGCGCAATTTCGTATCTCTTTCCTCCGCGTGGATACGCCGCATAGCCCGCTCACCCTCATTCTCGTTGGATCTGGCGAATGCTGCATCGCTCTGGTAATGGAGGCGGTCAAGTT